GGACAGGAACCTCAACTTGGTGATCAACACTTTTACATATCTTTACTGGACTACCAATGAGATCACATTGGTTCCTTCTATACTGGCCTTTTAGCTGTTGTCAGTCTTGCAAATTAGTCTTTTGATTTTAGTTTAGATTTTCCTTTGAGCTCAAAACTCAATTCAGTTACTATACATTAAATAAATTTGTGCTTCAAAACTACAGATTATACTGTCATTTATCATTGCCCACAACACATACACAATTTATCCACATAATTCTGTTGCAGAGAAACATGGGTAAACCATTTATTTCTGCAAACCATTTAATTCTGTCATCTATACATTTTTGCTTTCCTATTTATCAAACACCCTGGGATCTCACAATATAGCTCGTTTTGGGTTCTGACATTGAACATAAAGACGGCCACAGTAATACTGATGGGTTAGTTTTTCAAGATAATAAATGCAGAAACAAATTATATAGAGATGAGTTTTGTTATGTCATTAACTGTTCTATAACTGCTTGACTCCTACAAACCTTTTGCCAGTGTGTGACAAATAAGGGCCAACAATCTGGGATGCTCATTGTCAAGTATCCAAGTCCTTGTAGACATATATGGAGAGTGAAAAAAACCCAACAAATAACAGAAATTCCATACATGAATTTAGTTAGGCTCCTCTTGTATTTGATTAGCCTTTGTTGAGCCGTAAGTAACCGGCTAGATAATGAACCAGAATGACATCTCAACTGTGAATGACAACTATGACAAATGTTGCATTCCGTAGACGTTGACAACACAGCACAGTACACGTGATGCTCCCATAAGCATGCTCTGGGACTGTACACTTGGTTTGCCAAGAAGATGGTGTCATCATCATTAATATGAAACATTTCAAAATAACTGGTATGGTCCAGTGATATATTTTCAAGTGTTTCACATGTTATTAGTTCATGTAGGAATACTGAGTTTACCGTGGTAAGGCATGTACAGTTTGAAGAGTACTGCAGCTTTCAACTTCATTTCACCAAAAATAATTTAGTTTCACCTCATCAACTGCGTTAAAAAAAGAACACTTTTCTGTTTTTATCGTTTTGTTTTTTCTTTGAATGAGACAGGGATTCAGCCTCGGAGAGAACTGAACTTGTGTGCTATACACTTTGAAGAAAAGCTTACTCTAGGCTCCAGGTGGTCCACTCAGCCTGTATGTGAAACAGTCACTGATCAATGCTCAGGTGTTTCAAAAAGGGTGGGAAGAGGAAAATTAAATGTCCAAGCTCTCTTCTCCCTACTGCGATCCTCTGATACCTCATACTTTTGGGATTTAAGCCTTTACCTGATTCCCTAGAAAAATATGACATCCTTTTGGAGTGACAATTCCCATCTTTCCACCCCTTTCCTCTCTGTTGTAGCAGCTTGAACATCCAACAATCCCAAAACAGATGATTCCTTCTCTGCCACGCCTTTGTTCCTCTCCTGCAGTAGTTCATCTCTCTTAGATGGCATGGTTACTGTAGCTTATGTAGGTCTGCTTCGAGGCCAACACTGTAAGTGACAGTTTAGGAAAAGAAGGAAAGGGTTACAGATGCAGTGGATGAACTTCAAACTGGAAGTGGAACAGGATAGCTGAGAATCCACATTGTTGGTATGCAGATTAATGCGAGGCTCTATTTGTGGATGGCTTCATTAGACAAGCATAGGTGGAACTAATCCTGATAATTGAATGTTAATATAAAGTGATATTTGTACAATCGTTTCCTGCCATTGCCTCACTTAACATTTAAATTGAAGTCTGCTGTTAAGGTGAAGATGGTAAAAAATGCAACTGTGATAAATATATAGCAGAGACGTCCTTTTTCCCCCCCTTATGCAATTCACAGTGCTGTGTAGATTTAAGCAGCCAACCCAAAGTGAGTATTTTTCAGTTTGTCTTCAAATTGGTCTCGAGCACAGTTCTCCAGGCTTTTTTTAAGGGCATTAGAAGGTTGGTTACTCTATAAAAGGGTAATGTAACTCAAGGGATGAACCAATACTCTAATCTAATACCTGTGAGGTAATTCCCAAACACCATGTTATGTGATGTATCCAGGAAAGATTTGAAGCGCAAGAACATTTGGCAAGTTTATCCACAGCATATATTAAAGTGACAACCTACATGAATAAGAAATATTCATGTTGTCTCTATGCTTTAAGGAAGCTACAGGTGAAAAAGCTGAAGTGTACAACTCATGACCCAAAAGTTGCACTGAAATTAGTGACGGGGCTTATGCAGAAGCAAATCCTCAAAAAAGTCTGGACATGAAAACGACTGAAGCAGAATGGGGTTATCTTTACAGAAATAGGAGGAAAAAGCAGTCAACATCTAAAGAATAGCTGCAGAATGTCCTTAAAGAAGCATGGAGAACTATTTCTGAAAACTACTTAAAGAAATGACAAGCTTATCTAACAGGGTTCAATGTGTTTTGAAGAGTAGAGGTGGTCAGACCAAATACTCACCTTAATTAATAAGTTAAGACTGTGGAAACTCCATTTGAGCCCTATAAATGTATTTGCATTTTTATTTGAACATGTTCAAAAGAAAAGATTCTCCCATTTCTCTTTTTCCCCAGGCCTTTGGGTTTAAGTCAAGATTTCTGTCAAGTCCTATCTGAAGAGATAATTGCAGTGATTAATTATTTACATTAAGTCTAAGTCTAAGTACCACTTAACTTAAATTTTGTGATGACACAATTAATTAATTACACAATTAATTTACTAATCCATTTGGTTTCAAGGTAAATTGATATCCATATGTAGCCATTACACAGCATTTGGGAGATTGGTGATTTTCTCACTTCTTGTTTTTTTAATTGTATCCAAAATGCATTTTAAAAAGGCACCAAGCAGATCACAGCAAGTAGCCATTCAAATGCAAGTCTTACAGCACATGCAAAAACCTGGGAGTTCTCTGTGCTCCAAGCAAAACATGCAGCAGTCAGTGCATTGACAACTCTACTCACTATTGTTATTTGGTTAGAAATAATTGGAATCAAAGTGTGATCTGAATTGGCACTTTTTACATTTACCCATAATAACCCTCTGTTTTTCTCTGACATTATTTTTCATGAAATCTGATAACAGCTATGAGTCCAGCAAAATTTGTCAAAGGTATGATAAGAAATGACTATAGGGCTATGAGTATCAGTCAGGTAGCAATCGTCATACATACTATACCCAATATTTGTGTAACATCATGCCTATCTGCACAAATGTGAAAGTGACATTTTAAAAATTTTATAAATGTAACATTATCCTCAGTGAGCATGCTCGGGGTGGTAATCACACTACCAATCTGCCCTCAGCAGCCTTGGCTGATTGAATATGTCAGAGGGGATGAATCCAATCAGAAGGCAGCTGAAAATCAGATTCGGGGCAAAGAGCTGTGGAGGAGAGATGTTTAATGGTAAATGCGTCTGTATATTAGTCAGTGCCAGGTTGGGTGTGGGTATGAGGCGGTATTCTTGCCATTTCATCCAAAGCATCTCTTCCCTGAGAAACATTGATAAATGAACCTTATTTGAATATTTATGTGCTGCAAGGCCAAGATAAAGAATAGATGGTCCAGAAAGAATTGGAGCTGGCAGACCCATCTGTCTTCTCCTGTTCACTCTTATTGTTGTTGTTGTCCCATTACGACAAATTCCTTCTTTTGTCAACCAGGAAACAAATTACTGGGGACACATGGCTATCGCTTGTCTCTTACACTCAGGCGGAGTGGTGTCATCTCCCCACATTAAGTGGCTTTACAATGCTGATTGGCCATTCTAAAGCACCACACACAAATGGTCTATCCATGTTGATATCACCGGGTCAAGGTGTGACTATGTGAGCGCGTGATTACTGCCTTCCGCCATCCAGGGTGCCGCATTTCAGCTCGGGGCAGTCATGATGCTTTGTGCATTGTATCGGCAAACGCAAGAAATGCACAGGTGGTGAGCATGGGAGGAAATCAACAGGAGAATGTGTTCACAGATAGGAAAAGGGCATATCCAGTCTAATCCAGTTACCTGAGAGTCTAAAGTCCCTCACAGGACTCTCCTCCCTCAACACAGTCTGACACATGAGCAAAAAGAGCAGTTGTTAGATTTACAGTTGAAACTAGTTGTTAAAATCAGCAATAAATGGGCTCTATAAATGGAAAAGACAGAACACCATTCTCGGGCACAAAAAAAGGCATGTATGCCCATGTGGGTGCAGGCTTTGTACTTCTAATACACATCATTGTATACTGTCAGCTTGTCAGAGTGTAAAATCAGAACCTTCAGTCATCAGAACATATGGGGTTGCTTGATTAGATTTGTGCCTGCCCCCACACAGAGACTGCCTACTCATACATATTATCTCGGTTATTGAAATATCCCTTTTTTCCCCCCTAACGCTGCCGTCTTTTCTTCCTGTCCCTTTCAAAATTTAGAATATCGTGGGCACCCTGTCAAATGTGTTGATTCACAAATACAGTGAGTTATTCAGAAGACACCCATTTCCCGTTTCACACCTTTGAAATCAGGATGATCCTGGATCAAGCTAAAAAGGGACTTCTTGCCTTTTTGTAACTGCATTCTGACTCTTGACATGTGGACTATGTAAAATGGTTGAGCAAGTGAAAGCTGTAGACATTAGGTTTGTTTGTACTTATCAATTCAAACATTTCAATAATTGGACATTTGGATAGATTATCATAATGGGAAGATGATGAAATAACACCACCCACTGGTACTCTCTCATCCTGTTCTATATACCTTCTACAACAACTCATATTCTTAAAGGACAAAAAGGTTTAACTTTAAAGTTGGTGTCAGGTCAGCTGCTTCATTTTTCATTTCTTATATATGATGCTTTGTAATTTCCTGAACTTCGAACTACAAAAATAAATTGAAAGGATTTTTCATTCACAATTTTAGCATTAAATCAACTCATGTGCTTTTTTATTCTGTTTTTACTCTTTTTTTTTTTTAAATTCTCTTTAACAAAACGACAGATTTAATGCTGACCTTGCGTTTCCAGACTTTCACAGAGTTCAGACTTGGCCTCTCCATTTGGCCTCAGGCCGCCTTTGGGGTTGAACTTGTTGGACATGGTAGCTGCAGTGACCACAGCCTTCAGGCTGCGTTTGCGCTTGGGCACGTTCTGCTCTGGATGGAAGAGAACCACGTAGACCTTAGGCATGTAGAGCATTCCCAGGGAGACAGATGCACTGAGGCTGACGGAGATGGTCAGAGTTGTGGTTTGGATGTACATCTGTATTGTTGGAGAGACAGAGAGAACAAATTACAACTGTGTGCCGAGGCAACGGTGATGGAGCCAGTTTTAGGTGTTAAATAGAAAACATAATTGTCATTATCACGTTTTTTTAGTAGTTTTTTTTCTTTAGATCCTGCACAGCTTTCAGCAAAACATTGGTTTGTCTCATATGAATACATTTTTAGTGGAAGTCCTTTTGTATTAAAGACATCACAATAGTCAGATGTTAAGTTAAAAGGCAATGTTTTAACATAAATTACATCTGTTGTCTAGAACATATTTGTAAAAAAGAAACAACTGTAGCTAAAGTTTTTTTTAGCTCTGTCAAGGCTTTTTTTCCAGATACTTCGAACAAAACAACCTTTCTCTGCTGGGCAGTCTATAAGCGAGCCCTTGTAGCATATGAAGACAGTGTGTAGTTTGTTATTATCCTGATGTGCCTTACATCTACACAGTCTTTGTAATAAATGATAGCGCAAGTCAGAGTTGCTGTTTAACAGCTATGGAAAAAAACACATTGTAAAGTATATAGAACCTTTAATGTGTTATGGAGAAAGCTTTAAAATGTATAGAATGTGTAGACATATCAGACAGCAGAATATATATGCATATGTATTTATAACAGTGCTCTTTATTAAAATGAAAGCCTTTCATTTATATAACAGTGATTGTACTCCTTTTCCAAGTTCAGCAACTTGTCTCCTCTGAAGTTGATGATGCAAAATGACTAGTGTTCATGGACAAGCAGCTGTGAGACATCCTTCAAAGAAACCGGCCTAAGGTTTTGTTTGACATTTTATTTGCAGATATCACAAATGACTGAGTTGTTCGACATCAGAATTGCCAGAAGGGTGTACAAACCACATTTCAGCCTGTATAAATGGCGTTCCCACAACATGCTGTTGTAACATGTTATGTGCATTATGGCTTTGTTGATGGAGGCACAGTCGTTTGTTCATAATGGACAAGTGAACGCAATACTGAGTAGAGTCTGGCATTTCGAATATCTGCCAGACACATAAAGCTGCCAGTGTGCTGGCATAGCATGGCACTTCTAGTTTTAAGGAGGTTTTTAAAATATTTTCTTTGAAAAATGTTTCAATAGATGTTCTTATTAATGTGTTTGGAGGTATACATGAGTTTTTGCTTATTTAACAATACTGTTGTATAGATAAACAAAGTAAATTGGCTTAACAAATGGGAAATGAGTGGGAAATGACCACTTAAGATGTCCGTTTAAATGATGTGATTTGTGTTAAACAAACAAAAACTCCAGAGAAAAGACATGTATAAATTCAGCCCCCATTGCCATGTAAGTTTGAAAAAATGTCAGTATAAGATAAAGGTGATAACGCCCTGTATTCTATCAAGCTGCAAACAGCAGAGTATTCTTCAGTGATGGAGGAGGAGTGTCCTAATCTCCAGAGAAGATTACACATGCCCTGAGGTGAGTTCTGAACAATATTGCTGACCCTCTGGAGTACAGAATGGAGGCACAGCGTGAGGAAAGCCAAGACCTTTTGTCTGCTTCCATCAGTCCTGCTGACATAAATTTTTTCAGACTTTTTGAAACAATGGTCAGTCTGCTTCATCCTCTCCGTAAAGGAATAGGACAGGGGTCAAAACCATTATGTGTTGTTTTCTAAGTGGGTTGGCATTTTTCTCTCGTGTAAAACATCTTAACAGAGGTGACCTTTTTATAGCACTTTTAACCCCATGTACCAAATCTATCCTTCTTAAGGGTATCTGCAAGAGTACTGATTATTAGAAAAAGATGCAGAAAATGCTTTTTAGAAAAGCACAAACCTCTATTCTGATCCTCATTTACAGAGAAATTGTAAACACTGGCATAAGCTTGATTTTATCTACAACCCTGAGTCATGAAGACATGAAACGTCCTAAACAGACCAGAGCAAACAAATTAATTGTTTTAACTTGGCTATTTTTCAGCCCTGGTGTCAGTAAAAATAACTACCAGAAGTAAGACTAAAAGGTTTATATAAATTCCGCAAAATCAGAGCAAAGGAACATGGCAAAGGTTAACATCTTTAGTATATCATATGTGATAATAATAGTTCTGAGACCTCATGTAGTCAAAGTTTTGTATGGAAAACTGTCATGTAAAATATTTCCTTTATTTTTTGCATTTCAGGTCTGTTTCTAATATATTGTTTTGTTATTGTTATTATTTTATATTACATTTAAAAAGCCATACAAAGACTTTAGATTTAAAATGTTATCATTACTTACACACTTTGCATTACAGTTTTGCAGTCCTCACACCATTCTCATTCAAACTAAATGGGTAGGTTCAAACCTTCGACTGGTATTATAGGTACAAATAATGTCCATATCGATTATTCAATATATGTATTAACCAACCCTAGTCCCTCTTGGGACAAAGTACAATTACTAGAACAAAAAACAAAAAAAACAAAAAAACATATCAACTGGGTTGTTTGTTGAAAACATTTGGGATGAGCTGAAAAGTTGCCAATAATGTTCTGTGCATCTCTCTTGGAGTTTAAGAATTTATAATTTGATAAAGCTATTCTACTGCTTGGTCAAAATCAATAGATCAAATTAATTTTATCAAATGTGTACTACCTGTGAAGTGATGCTCCTAAAAAAATAAAATAAAAATCTAATCTTAAAGTGTAACCATGACAACAAACCAGTTTTGGTGTACTCCAGCGAGTATCAGCAAGCCCTCACTCTGCATTAAGAAACGTGTTTTTGAAAGAGAAGCTAACGATGCTGTAGGTTTTAAAATGTCCTTTTCTTCTTTTGTAAATTAAGTCCGTTTGATGTATACTGTTGTCATAAACAGATTACGTATTACATATTATGTTTTTCACCTCAGTTTGTGTATTCATATATTCCTTAATAATTGTGTTGAACATCATAATATTGATGCAATATTGACTAACATTTAAAAATAAATTAAGAATACTGTTTTGACTTAAGACTTTTTATATCAAGGATAATGAAATGTTCTGTTTTGACCAGGACTCAAGAAACTCAATTCTCTTTGAGGGAGATAAATGTACAGTTGGTAATTCATTAACAGTAAAGGTAACATCTTTCTTTGTATTTCTTTATTTGCAAAGGAATGTTTTTTAATCTGTATGAAACAGGTCATGACAGAGTTAATTGTATAGCCCACATAGTGAAAACACTGGAATGGCAATATTTTGAATCCTAATTTGTTAAGGTTGATTGATAGTGGGGTGGGCCTAAATATTTTGTCTTCAAGTCTGTCACAGTGACATACATACATAATGCCATGTGTTGTTATCTTGTTTTTCGTTTCTTCTGAAGATCTGATGAATATAAAACTATTTTCTTTCTTGAGGAAATTTACAAGAGCTCATAAAGGGAAGCAACTGCATTTGCACCTTGTGTGTTGGTGCAGTGCACCATCTATGACATATACTCCTACTGCATTACCTGCTTATACACAAACCTAGTTATCTGTACAGATACTGTACAGATAGGTTAGTTTTATTTTTATATTTTTTTTGAGCCACTGCTAATAAAGCTAGGCGAGAGCTAGGCTGTCAGAGAGCCGCAAACCTCAGAAAATCTTTACAGGCTTTTGAAACTACACTAGAGCAGGAGCACAATAACAAACATAGCAATGTCTTAAACTGGCAGTCTAACGACAAAAAAACAAAACGAAGTAAGGCCGTCTCATGTCCCTTTCTAATAGGAAAGTATTATGAAGAAAAGTCACAGCCAGAAGTAAAATAACGCCAACATAATTAGGTGTGAAACCTACAACAATAAGTGATGTTTCTTGCTCATCCCATTTTCCTCCATTTTTTTCTGTTAGTGATAATGTGTTGAGACTGTAATAAGATCAGTAAGAATATGTATCCTATGGAGCAGGTGGTGGCCCCTGCTACCTAGGTTTATTTAAAACATAAGTGTGAACGCTACATTTAGAAAGAACTTGTAAATGTAGCATATGGTGGATGCCATCAACAGCGGGGTCATGACAGAGTAGCAATGACTGTAAAATGTAGCTGTGTGTGTGTCAGTGGCAGTAAAAAGAGATAAGGACACCTCGCACCACATTTCACAACATCTCAATTTGATGTCATGAATTGAAATGAAAATGAGGCATTTGATGTAAGATGGTGGTCTGAAGTCTCATTTTGAACTTGTGTTTAGCTGCTGATCCAGTGACAGCCACAAGATTACGCCCTTTTTTTTCTTTTGTTCTTTTCTGCAGCCATTGTTTGTACTATTGGTCAAGTGTGTAGTAAGTACAATATGTCAGTGCAGACTTAATCACAACATTTTCTTAACGAGCATACCTTTATGTTGCTGACAGTCTAATGGCTGCTTTTTAGGTTATTGAAGTACATAACCATTACAAAGCCAGCCTGATGCTTGCTTGGCAATTGGTAGTTTGATGTCTCCCATCTCTTAAAAAAAAAAAGAAACTAACATGTTTTACAACTATTAATGTGTGCATTAGGTTTTACTACTTTACAAATATGTGTTATCTGTCTGGATGCAATAAACAGCATTAGGTAACACAACATTCACATTCATTCAAGCTGAATCAAACACATTCATAGAAACACAAGTAAAGACGATTTCCAAGCAAACTTGAAGTGAATAAATGCTTTGTAATCCCCTAAACAGAGCACAAAGCCTATCTACTCATGATTAATAGCAGCGGCATCCACAAACACAAGTGGTTGGTGCTATACAGCAAACATAGTATGAGTGCCCGTTTTCTTCACAATGAGTAACACAGGACGCTTAAAAGAACTCCAAAGAACTCTAAAGCACTTTTTATCCGAGTTGCTTTTTGTAAATTCAGAAACCTCTGCATATGCAGATAAAAATGGCTCTAAGGAATACCATTGTTTTTTATTTATTTATTTTAGCTTACCTTTTCTGCCGATTGTGATGTTCCAAAGAAGATGGGGATGAAAGCCAGCCATACAATGCAGGTAGTGTACATGGTGAAACCAATTGGCTTGGCCTCATTGAACGTCTCAGGAACTCCTCTTGTTTTGATGGCATAAACTGTACAGGTGACCATCAGCAGCATGCTATAACCCAGCAGACAGATGAGAGACAGGTCGGATATATCACATTTCAGAACACCACGGGCCATGTCAGGATTGGCTGTGCGCTGGTCCTCATAGTCAATTATGGCTTGGGATGGGTCAACACCAAACCAGATGCACACTCCAAGCAACTGCACTGATATCAGGCTGAATGTGATAACTAACTGGGAGGCTGGGGATATAAATCGTGGGGCACTGACTGACATCTTGCCCTGCTCAAAAATCCTGTAGATCCTATTTGTCTTGGTAAGCAGCGCTGCATAGCTAATACTCATACCAAGGCCCAGGAAAATCCTTCGCAATGAGCACACAAACACATCAGGAGCTGAGATCATAAGGAATGTTGTTGCATAGCACAGGAAGATACCCGTCAGCAGCACATAGCTCAGTTCTCGACCTGAGGCCTTAACAATGGGGGTATCGTTGTAGCGTACAAAGGTAGCAACCACTAACAGGGTAGCAATGATTCCCAAGATGGCAATGAGGACGGGGATGACTGCCCATGGAGAGCTCCACTCCAGCTTGACAATAGGAATGGGAACACAGCCAGTGTGGTTGTCATTGGGCCGCAAATCAAAGCGGCACATCTTGCAGGTGTAAGTGTCCGCCTGGTACTGGTAACCATCGCAATTCTCACAGTGCCAGCAACACGGAATTCCTTTCACTGTCTTCTTGCGTTGCCCCGGACGACATGGTTGACTGCAGATGGAAGACGGGACTTCTTGTGTTCCTCCAGGCCACTGCATCTCGTTGGTCTGAAGAAGGGAGTGGGAGAAAAGGTAGATGATTTATTCGATAACTATAAAGAAGCTCCTCCAGATTTGCGTCTTTCCTTTGTGATGCTTTAAATGTAGTTTGCAGCCTTTCACATGCACATTGAGTGATTTTACACTGGACTCATCTGAATCATGGGGATCCCACTGCTCAGTATTGTATATGAGCTGTGTCTTCATGCCAGCGTTTACCCATCTTTACGTGCAAACACATATTTACTTTGACATTAGATTGACACATCTGAATTAAAATTTCCCTTCAGAATAGGATTTATCAATATTCTAGGGGTATTTGCAGCAAGTATAACAACATATTATTTTGCTTATTTTATACTTCATACGCATACAAGCACATAATTAGATTGAGGTCTTACTCTAATTGCATATTAACTGAAAACGTGTCAGTCTTTACATGGACAGAATCAAAGTCAACCGTGAAATGCTCTTGATTCTCTTACTGTGTTGATATTTAAGAAAAATACACTGATGATATAAGTTAAGCGATGATGCATAAATTAAGCTCTACTACATTAGGTAGAGACGGGTTGCAGTAAATGTCAAGATAAAATGGCTGCAAGTAAAGAAGTGCTTTGGCACTGCTGCTCAAGCAAAAATTTCTATAAAAAAATCAACTTGGGGAGCGCTTTTGCTTCATTCCTAATTGATAAATGTTTCATGGCCGATTTTTACTCTCAAACTGTTTTCCAAGTCTTCAGGATTTGTGGTCACGCAAAGAATCTTTCCAAATCGAAAAGCTGCAGCTTTTAGGTTTGAATACAGTGTCTGTCTTCAGTTCTTTATAGAATCTTTGCGTCGGATTGAAAACATAAAATGTTTATAAATGACCTGAAGGCTTTATCATACAATCTTCTGAACACATTTAACATTTGATGTATTCATACATCGAGGTAGAGTTGATCTGTCCAGTGTCCAATGATCTTGTATTCTGTGGTGTCATTTCTGATCTGGTATTGGTAGATTTCATAGCGACCTGGAGCATCTCCATTCACATTGAAGACAACTGGGGTTCCAGCTATTCCTATAAAAGAAAAGCAAGTGCATGTTTATTCCCTTGGCATCCAATACTACACAGATGTGGATGTGTTTTGACGTGATTTCAACCACATTTTTATCCAAGAATGGTAGTAGACGCACTCACACTTAGTCATAAGTATACAAAACCACGGCTTAATATGCTTGACAATGAAAGCAGCACTATAGAAGAGACACTAGGCTGCCTCATTGGGGAAAAAAAGGGAATATCTTATCACATACATAGTCATAGACGGAACAAACACCGTTCAATGGAAATGGTAACTACAGTGATTGTGTCTGTAAGATGAGACCAGTGGAATTTTCATAGTTATAGCCCCATGGAATTGATATAGTCTTCAAAGCATCACATCGACAAGGTCTTTTTCAAGACAACCAAAGCAGCCAATCTACTTCTGCAAAGATGATGCACTGCAGCAGTTATTTCTAGCACCCAGAACCGAATAGCATTAAACCATAAAAAAGAAAAAGAAGATTTTGTACTTTTTCCACACTTTCCTCCTGACTACATAAGGGTTAAACATGTGTATGCGTTGTTTTGAAGAATGAATGAGGTGTGCGCTCTGAATATTTTATCTATTTATTCTTTTTTTTCTTTTTTTTTTTTCTGTGTGAGTACACACTGTTTATTCTAAAATTGCCCCGAGCTGAAATGGGCTGCCAGGGTTCTTCAAGTTGAAGATCGTATGCCCTTAATGATGGGAGCAAAATAGATGTTGACAGGCATGTTGTCCTGGTCCTTTGAGGAGACTCAATGCTGCTGTCTGTTCATGTTTCCCATATCATTTTACACTCCTTCATTCTGCTTATTGCTTCATTGCCTGTTATTCACAAGGTCTCTACTCAGTGTGCTAACGAATGACAGCACTGATTTTCATTACCACATTGAGGTTTCTCTCATGTCCCTGCTTGTATCTGAGCCAACTTACAATCCCCTCTTGAGCCTCTAAACTTGTTAAAAATTGTGTTATAAGAGAAGACAGACTCACAGAAATACTGATGAGAACCCCAGAAATGGACCACGGTGAGCATCACAATATTTCCTCATATTTCTCAACTTCTTTTGACGCAGTCACTTAATTCTCAGCAATTGTACTGCATGTTAAGTACGGTATACAGTAAAGTAGTAGTAGTTTCTTGGTTGTTCATACTCAACATTTTATTGTAATTGCATTTTTACATTTCAAAAACATTCCAAAAGGTCTTTGTGTTTCAACATTTACATTTATATTTCTGAATTTAGTAGGAGCTTTTATCCAGACCGACTTACGATAAGAGGGTTTAACATTCAGCTACAACACCAGTTACGCACTTACCTTACCTTGAGTGCAATATGTTAGAAGAGGATTTAACATTTAACTATGACATAGATAGCACAACTACCATACATTGAGTGCTATGATATTAGGAAATCAGTGCATTTAGACCTTTCAGGACAAGAGATACTCTCGGAAGAGCTGGGTCTTCAAAGATTTTTGGAGGGAGGAAAGAGAATCTGATGCTCTGCTAGAACTTGTACGATCGTTCCACCGGCGTGAAACTGCTGATGAGAAGACTCTAGATTGACCTGTACGGGGCCTTGACCATGTTAGCTGGCACTCCTTGGAGGAATGGAGTGGGCGAGCGGTGACATAGGGCTTTAAGAGGGTGTTGAGGTAGATGGGTGCAGATCCATCAAACACTCAACATTTGGCAGAACAGATATGTTGTTTTCGAAAGATTGATGAACATCTCTGATTTTTTCAGAAAGAAAATGATGTATTTGAAGGTTTTCTTCTCAGATTGATTTTTTTTTTTTTTAAACAAATTTTTGTTTCTTTCTATGAGTTAGTGTTGGAAACCAGTTTTATTTTGAGCCCAGTTTCAATTTATGTTTCTTAAAGGTCTCACCAAAACCCACAGAGTTTAATTAGTATTATCCTGGTGCATTACCCAAAGGACATACCTCAAACAACATCAGGCAGTCATGCAATTATGAAGATTTTCTTGGGATGCATACTCCCTTTTAATTTGATTGTTTCAGTCTTAAGTTGCAAAAGGATGCAGTAGTTATCATGCACGACATGCAAATATTAAGAATTTTCTTATTTAAAAGCCAAGTCAGATTTCTATATTCAGCAGATTGTCATGAAATTAGAGAAACTGTATGCAACCATGTAGTGCTCTTTTACCAACATGCTGTTCCAGATCTGATGGACACACAAACAAAATTTAGTTTTACTAAATTCATAGGTAAAAATTGCTTTGAATCTGAACTTTATTTGAAACAATCCCCACTTCTTATTGTAGGATAAGTGTGAGTTTGTTTGTTTGACAGCAAATAATAATTACTTATTTGAATATTACTGTATGACTACATGTATGAATACATGATTTGCTATTCCCTAATCCAAGAAAGACTAACGCAAAATGCCAAAAACTGTAGGAGATTTATTAGGCTGCAAAACAAACTTTGACATATATTACCACTATATTTAGCACTTTGTAGAAGGATTTCCAATGTTTAAGCCGTGCTACATTTCCACTGATTTCGTCCCTAAAGCTCATAATTCCAGGCGTTCTTCTTGCAACTCTTCACATACCATCTAAAATCTTAGTATTTAACACGCCTATTGAGCTTTGTCTTGAATCGTTTTTAATTTGGACTAATGTAAACATTCTCACTGAAGAATGATGGATTTCAAATAGTTTGAGAAACTGTAACTCTTTCTTTGGCTTTAGGCAACTGCATTTGCTGATATTGTTCATACTCACAAACTAGCAGAGGCTTTATAGACTTGCTCACACTGAAGACCAGTTAATCACCTGCATTTCATTCACAAAACTTGACTGCCACTGACCCTCTTTAATCTTATGAAAGTAATGGTCAACTTAGTTTTCAACAGATGACTGATGTGGCTTAGTTAAACTAGTAAAACAGTTCTTTGTGTGGTAGTGTTGTTATATCACAGTTTGTACCTATACAAGGTAAAGTAATGAACCTGGCAAAGACGAGACAACTATATTTCTTATGTACTGATATATAAAACTTTTGGATGCAAATTGAAACAGTATCTTCATCTTTTTTCAATTCTGCATAAATCATAAATGACCTGCTTACATAGTAATAAACCCTATGAGGGAAAATAAAACAAAGATTAAGCTAGATTGAAATACTGAGGACGACACAGTTTCTTGTCAGTATCAATTAAGGATTATGGGTAACCATGCAAAAAAGAGTCAACTTAATATTTTTTGTCAACAACAATAAAAGTCAGCCTGGACCTGGATCCCTGAAATTATGGAACAATCAAAACATATTTAGATGATCACCCATGACTCAGTCTTTTAACATGAAATTATGATTAACCTGTTGTGTCTTTTAGAGAAACAGAATTTCATATGAAAGAGGTTTTCCATATCAGTGAACCTCAGTACTTTAAATTAAAAGACCATTGTAGACTTGGCAAAGATACAATACTCTTTTAACAATAGTTTACTGGAGCTAAATACCTGTTATTTCTACATATATTACTTGAAGAAGATAAAAATACTTCTTATGTTTACTTTGCAGTTGTATATGTGTTATAATAATATAACTACAAAACACTGGTGGTTTGTTGGTGGTCACATCCCATCAAGAAAAGCAGCACTTGACTGTGAAAATGATCAGAAACAAGTGCCTGTTTGTGCCTTTTGTTCTTCCTTTTCTCAATTTGAGAGGTCACAACTTCTTATTAACTGCATGAATAATCAACAATCTGGTTGTCAGGAAATCAGTTGGATTTCAAATATATCAGACATTTTTCACAGCTGTCTTCCTGATTGAACAGATTGTTGTCCTGTTTCCCCCTCTGTGGGTAATCATGCGCACTGATCTATGAGACTTTATTATTTGTATTTGTTGTTGTTTAGTTTCCATTTAATTATACTTACATTTAAGCAAGAGAAGGTTGCTGAATAATTGACATACTCTGGTTAAAAGAAACAACCAATAATTTCCCTTGTTGCAATTTTTTTCTTTTTTATAAAAGTCAGAGTTGGAATTGAAATGGCAGAAGCCAGTGAGTTAGTGTGGTTCAGTAAACACCATCAGCTGTGCTGCCTGCACTGCCGAGTTGTCTTAAGTGTTTAGTTTACAAATATCCGTAGCCTTTTTTATTTTAGACTGATTGCTCCTTCTAGGCTCCTGACTGCCTCTTACAGGGATCCTAAACTTTAATTGCCATAAAAATAAATGTCTCTCTTAATACGCATTCATCTGTGCTGCTGAAGCAACTTGGAGACCGCGCCAAAGCTGCTTTGTGCTTGATTGCATGACCGTCCACTCAACTGATATGTAATTAGTTGAAATCACTAATGATGTCAAACCACTTTTTGCATTTACTTTTTTCACATTTGTACCATGATTATTAGTCAAATCAACTGGTAGAAAATAGTGTTTCACTGTCCAAAATGTTACAAATAAACAAGACAAACATAATTCCAGTGTGACTTGCATTCATGTCTTTTTTTAAAATAAAATCCTAGTTTATTTTCTAGTATTACGATTATTTCTGTTTTAGATCACCTTAAACAAAAACCGTAGCTCATAAGCTGAAAGCCAAAACAACTCAAACTAAGAGGCACATCTGTGAGTTTCAGCTGGCTGTGATAAAATGATGACATCAGCACTCAATTAGCAGCAATTTTAGACGTCAGCAGTTGTTGCCACAAAGTTCTGCAAAGGTGCAAACCTTTCAAATCCCCAAACAAGGAACAGCTTTCCGCTTTTTAAGAATACCTCTGAACAAAACTGTCAAGCAGGGTTTAATTAATTGATGTAAAGGCTAAACAGGGAAGTGTCTGGTCGTTATATATATAGAGAGACTCACTAACTTCTGTCTCCAGAGATAACAAATGTCTTTCTTTATTTTTTTGTACAAAGGACGACCTTTGAAAAACACCTGGTGTCTATAGCAGTTGAGCTGTCTGTAAACTCTTTTCCCACGCTCATTTAACTATAATTTGCACTCTGTTTAAAGGACCCTTTAAATGAAAAATCTGTATGGACAATTCAGCGCTGACTAGATGAAGCAGAAATGACCACAAAGCTAATTTCCTGCAGTTAAAAATATGCTGTTCTACTGATCTGATCCTGTTACATAGATTCGCCTTTCATACTTTCTTGGAATAATTTGCATCTAGTGAACTGGACATTACTGTGTCCTGCCCAAAAAATGCCCATGCATGATAGTGGTATTCTGATTATAGAAACCTCAGATACAATAGTGCACATACCACAACTATAAAGGAATTTTACACTGTAAGCCACATGTACACTGCATATCATAGAACATCTGGATGAAGCTTATTGTTGCACACATTTTAGCTTCATAGCATCCACTGACCAAAATGCATAGTGATTACTCATAAATTATTTAGTGTCATTTAATACAGTACTTTGAACAGCTTTGCGATGATTGAAGAAAGACCAACACATACCTGTAAAGTTGACGTTGCGAATATACTTTAGCAGCAGTGTGCCATTGATAGAGTCCATCCTGGGGCAAAGTCCAACTTTTCCTGGACAGAGGTCTTTGTGCATGTTGTGCAGGGCATGAGCCATGGCATACACAGCATCTATCACAAACTGGACCTTCCCTTCCTGCTCATAGGACGAATCTTTCCCGATCCGCTCATGGTCTAAAAGGAAACATTACAATGCAAAAAATCAGAACTTGAAAAAATGAGTTCTGTGCTGTTTTACTAGTTCAGTTAGAGAAATCGTGAATAGCAATTGTGACTGGAACATTTGGTATGAATGGCATAATAATCAGCAGAAAAAAGCAGCTTGGCAATCAATGAAAACTGCACGAACTAAACAATACTCATTAGATTTGTAAAGTTATGCAAATAATAGCCTTTCAAGAAGCCCGATAACTCAATTGTGACACAATCATTTTTTTTTTTTTTTACTATTTTGATGCTATGTGAAGAGTGGCATTGAATGGCATGCTAACCATTAATTGCATACCATTTCTTCAAGACATCAATCTCCCTCACAAAACAAAACTGGCCTTGCTTGCAGCCTTTCTCAGAAACATGTCGATCAATTGAAACGCCTCAAATTTATTTAGTCTTTTAGCATATTTTTTCTTGATCATCTTTGAACTGTAGCAGCAATACAAACTTCACTCTAGCATCATTCTCGTCAACATGTGCTTAACATTTATGTTAAGGAAATCTTCCCCCACATGCACCCTTTAAATACCTTTTCAAAAAAACCTGCCATAAATCTATTGATTCTATATAATGGCCAGTAATCTTTGCTTTTTCGGTTCAAAAGCATGACACCATTTTATTTTTACATTCAGTCTGAAATTTGTGATAAATCTAAAATACATCTTTTGAGACACTCAGCAAAAATATTTGAATTATAAGATATAGCATAACATTTGTCACCCTCTGTGAAAATTTTTTGAGATCTAAATTAAGTCATTTTAGGAGAATCAAATTTTGCACACATCAGCTTGGAGGTCTGTGTTGGCACATCGGTAATTATCCTTTTTCATGATAAAATACAAGTCTGTTGATTATGCACATTGTATTCTGTGCAGTTCCTATATGAATTTTGAAATCTAAACACACAATATACTTAAAGTTAACTGAAAAGGGCGGTAATTACCTCAGCGCTGACACTTTCTTCTTGTACAGATTATAGTGCTGGTGCTGCTCTGAGGACAAGGGCTGATTTAACATAGACGCCCCCCACATGCACCCTTTAAATACCTTTTTTAAATGTGCTTTAAATGTTTTCATTCTATATAAGGGCCAGTCATTTTAGCTCTTTCTGTTAGATTGCACAACGATCACAATTTTATTCTTACATAGACATAGAGTGTAAAAAATGTGGTAATTTCCCCTAACTGTGATAAATACAAAAGGCATCTTTTGAGGCACTCAGCGTGTGAAAGTATGTGAAATACAGATTATTTCGAAGCCAGGGGGTAACATTTTACACCTTCTGTGAAAATGTTTTGAGATCTAAATTAAGCCCAAACTGAAACGCCAAAGTCTGTAAAAACCAGTTTGAGGGACTTTTTAATTTTTTGTTCTTTCACTCAGTTTGGTTCTTATATAGTTAAGTCTGAAATTTTATACCAAGGATCAATCAAGTCTGCTTTAAAGATCCATCTCAGACAGCAAATGGATGTCGCAGTAAACCGGCAAAATTTAAATGGTAAACACACAGATCGAAGACTACAAGGGAAAACTTTACGCCTTTCATTGCAGCTCTTAGAATTCTGTATCCACAAAGAAACACCATCAGCCTCAGCTCTGACTATATCCCCTTCATTGATGGAGGTCTTTTTGTCAAATAATCCTTGTTGTGGTTTAATCAGTGGGGGGAAATATGGAGGCTCCTGAGCATAACTGGTTGCCAAAACATGGAACGCATAAGCTTGGATGAAGAGACATACAAAGGGAGTTACTGCGCTCTGGAAAAAAACATAATTACACCACTAAAACTGCGCATGGTAAATGGTTGTTTGTAGCTGTAATAGGGTTTGAAATATCATTTATTGAACCTTTAAGCTGCAGGTACCCTGGTCTACACAAGTCTTTTCCTTTGGGCTTTGAAGGTTAATGCCTTTTTCGAATGATAAAATCCGCTGGATTTGAATACTGTAAGCATTAGAATAAAAAAAGTGTTTGAAAACTGAGTGACTCGTATTACGGCAGATCAAAATGGACTTCAAAGGGAAATTCTGAATGTAAGCTCATGTCACTGACATATACTATGGTCTTTTTCAAACTGCGGTGTAATTACACAACACATGCCTTCTTCTGGCATTTGTTAAAACATTTAAAGTGAGTGAATGGTATGTTTACTGTCAGAAGAGATGCAGTATTTGGTTACAGCACAATATTTCCTTTCATCACAATTAACAACGTCTATAATGTTTAATAAAAAAACAAACTAAAACTAGTTAAACAAACAATATGTCATGAGAGGTTCATTCATACACACCACGTTGACCAAAATGGAATTAAGGTTTTAAGATTTACTAAATCTATCATTTCATATCCCTAAACCTAAGAGTAGGCTGCCGTTAATGGACTAATAGTTTTTGTGTCTTGTTTGAATCTGATCTACTTCTATTATGCACTAAAGAAGATTTCCAGGGTGAATCCCCCTCAGTGTCTACATGGATAAACCCCCTCCGTCTGTGATCCTTTACAAGATAAAGCGCCTATAGCTAATGGACTGATGGCAGTCTTAATATGGCTAATGGCTATAGCTGATGGCTCTCCAAATATGTTGATAATGCATTTCAACTGAACCCTTTTCTTTTACATCCAATTTACTTCCCTCTCCCATTAACATTGCATGATATTATGGCTAAAAAAAAGTCAGAGGGACAGTGGCAAAGAAGTCGTCTGGGGCTGTTAGTCACGTTAACTTTCTAAAAATGATGTGATTGATTTTGGCCTAGTGTAGTTTATCTCTCATGACCACTTTCTACCGTCAGTCTGCTAACTGTCAACGCTGTAATGTACACGTTTGACATGGATTAACTTGTTTTAAACATTGACAGGAGTGTCATGCCAGAAGGGAACGTTTGTCATCTGAGTCCAAATGAATGGACGTTAACTTTCAGATCTTTTAATATTTACAATACCTCAATAACCAAGAAAAACACGTTCTGGTGGTGGTGTCAGTAGTTTGAAAATTAAATGGAATACAAAAAACATTAAGTGTAGAAACAATTTGTGAAACTATTGTTTAAGTATTTGTTTGAGACAAATAGTGTATTTCTTGTTTTCCTCTCTTATAAAGCATACATTTTTCTGTATTTCTTTCCATTTCTAACAATATTGGGTTAGGTTAATGTTGGGTTACTTAAAGTAGTACAAAGAGTGATTACCCAATATGTTTTCCATGCACGGGTGCTGCTGACATTGTCAATTTAACTCATATATTTAGTTTGACCTACCTGATGATCCTTGGACAGACTGGCTGTCCTCAGCCCTCTCTATGAATACTAATCTGCAAACTCCACACTGAACAATACTAAATCCACTACTTCAGAGCTTTGGGAGGTACTGTATATGTTCACATATTGGTGTCAGACAGCAAAGCCAGTACTTTCTACGCTGTTTGAGTAGTTTTACTTTAAAAACTACTCATTCTATGTGTATTTTGTAGTGAAGTAGCTTTTCAAGATGAATACACACAACTTTGCATGTCTCTAAAAATGGCTGTTGAATTATCATAGAAATATTTTCATATTGTTTGTGCTATTTATTTCTGTCTGATTACTGATTATAGCATGAGCTGTTTTTGTTTGCTTTTCTGAATTCATTTTTATCGCCAGCCTTTCACACACCATGCTGCAATCCTTATGTTACCTTTTGGTGCGTCAAGCCACTAACATGTTCAGAAAACATGGAAACATATTACTTTAATGTCTTACATGTGTTTCAATTGGATCTCTGCAATTTCTGACAATTTTAGATGAGGCTGTAACTTTTGTTTTTTGTGCATAACTGTCGACACTGTAATGATTGAAGCGATCTGACCATGCGGAAGAACTAAATTAATTATGACAGCCATCATGACCACTTTCTATTTTATTGTTATAAGGCCAGGCATTGTCAGCTTGGGGAGAAAATTAGACTGTAGTGTTTGTCTTCATTTGTTCCTAAGACTGTTGGTCAGAAATCATTGCTGCAGGCTGCGGATTTGAAACTTTTCTTTGTTAAACTCCCTTTAATCCACGAAGACCAGAGGCATTTTCTTAACATGAAGCTACACTGATATCTGGTGCCAAGCTTTAAAGGGATAAAAAAAAGGATTGAATGAAATGTAGCTGCAGAAAAAGGAAACGCAAAGCATTTTTCCAGAGAAGGACATTGATCATGTGTACACACTGTCATATTAAACCACTGGAGGTCAATGTTAATTTCTCCTCTATGAACAAAAACATTGTTTTGTATCTCAACAACGTTGAGTTGCATGTGATGTCCTTGGTGTTTTCACTGAACCTTGGAATCCAGATAATTGAGCAGGCAGGCGAGCATGCATCTGTGTCTGGTAGCCTTGATGACTCATGCCAGGGATTCAAAACAACAGTGGGACTCAAGCCAGTTTGCCTTACTCATACTGTGATCACCAAAAAGCAAAAACCTCAGACCTGTGGAACTGAAAACCTAAATGAAAGAAAATTCAACAGGAACTTTCCAGACAGGTGGAAAAATGGACACACTCCACATTCCACTGACTTGTTCAATATATTTGGATGTACAAACTGAAATATGTGAGAAAGTCACGTGAAAAACGTTACTGTCATGCGTTCACTGAGTATTAATTGAGATGAGGGACATTTGAGGATAGTGTTCCCAGTCATTGTAAAGCAGATATGATTTATGGGCCAGGCCTGCACATTACTGATCAATACAGCTGTGTCATGCTGTGAAATTGTGCACTGTTTTTATCACCACCAATTTATGTCCTTTCACTGGTTCAGGACAAATGGCATCCATTTCTTGTTAATTCTGCACAGAGAAACTACATCATGTTTTATGGTCTGCTAGAGTGAAATACTGTACAACAGCTCAGTGACAATACAGCATGTGAGGTAGCCATGTCAAAAAATGTTCAATTTTACACAACTAAGATGTTTAATTTAAAAAAGATGGTAAACTTGATAGATTTTATGACATCCTAGCAAAACAGATGAATATTATAAAAAAATGTTCTTACTTGTACCACAATACAGCCAGGATGAATGACAATATGGAATGTCAGAAAATGTAGGTTAAATTAAACAATTAATTCCGTTTTGATATTTTGAATATCAAAGGGGTTTTCCTGGACAAAAACAAAATATTGGAATGGATTATTTAAACTTCTTCAATATCATTTATGTAAACAAGTATAAATTGTTTGGTTAATTAGTCGGTGCATGAGGTGTAATTCATCTAAGTGGTGTACACTGTATAATAACAAATACCTGCATAATGGCATTTTGTCATTTGGTCCACCACCTTATTGTTTAACATAAATATGTTATGTAAAGCTGTTGAACTGCTAAAGATGTTCTCCTAATTTTCATCCTGCTGGTCAATTTGCACGTGCTCTGAAAAGCTGTGGTGAGCACCTCAGCCATGGTGCTCTCCTGTGAAGGTTTAGTTCTTAAACTTTTTCTTAACCTTAGTTCTTAATCTCTGGTCCTTTTGATTACTGTCGAAGTATTACAACAAATGTCTGGTTATTAAGTCCTTTAGCGTTTTGCAAGGGGAAGAACTGTTAAGGAAAACCAACAAATTGAATGTAGAGCATTTAATTATTATTTCTTCATCAATGACAGTTTCTGAGAAGCAATTTTTAAAAATCCTTTTTCCTTAACACCATTGCATTCTGTTGCTTTATACGTATCCGTTTGCACCATGTACATCATTCAGGACATCCACCAAACAGATTAAGTAATGCTCTTTTTTGTGAATGGCAAAAATATTGTGTCAGACCTACTTTGTACCTATTTAAGGAAATGAGAAATGAGTTGGTTAGTTAGGTTACGGCCCACTTACGTGTAATCTTCATAATGTGTTTTACACTCTGGGGTTATGTTGGTTATGCCCTGTGGACTGGAAGTGAGAATGTAGATCTGTAGCACTAAAGTAAACTTTGTCGTTTGGGACACCAAATATAAAAACACTGGGAAATAGAGCAGATGTAAGAACTGAATGATTCATCTAGGCTGCTCTCTTTGCCCACCAAGCTGGATACATTTTAATACCTGATACATAGGACTTGACCTGCTACTATCAAGAAGTGATGGTGTATAGCTCACTCTTCATTGACTTGTATAGAAAATCATTGAAAACCTTTATTTCATATATATATATATATATATACTTGCAAAGTATCATTTTCTGATACCTTGGAGTTAATTAGTCTTTGCAGGATTTATGTACAGGAATTTAATCCCTAAGTGTGATCATTTCCTGATTACATCCATTTGCTCTGCCACTTATAAAGTCCAGCTCTTGGGTGTGACCAGAACTGGGGACAGGAAATGACTGATTTTACACAGAACAAAGGGGAGTACTTTCAAGGAGCCCTAAATTGAATGACTGTATAGTAAACGGCAGTAAATATTTACTGTAACTACAGCAATTTAGCTCAAGAACAGCCACCGTGACAGCTGATGAATACAGAAATCATTGATGTGCTCTCCTGGAATTATGGATTAGTGGAGGCATCTCTCTGTTTTACCATGGATCACAATATTGTGATATTAGTTTTTTCAGATAGGTTAGATCTGCTTCTTTATGTACCGACCACGTTGGTGTCAAATCTTGTTTACTTCTTTCTTCAAATGGAGGCCTCACTGCCACAACTCTTGATATTTTCACCCTGGATAATTCTTTCCTAAATTTTTCCATCCAAAGAAGAACAATAACATTCCTTTATTAAAGTAACTATACTCGGGTTAGTCTAGTCCTTGACGTACCCACCGAGGTAAATCTAATCTATCAAGAAAATGTTTTTCGACAATGCAATCTACATTTAACTACAATAATTCATTCAAAGTGGGTAGTTATTCAAGCCCCATACATTACATTTTGAGCCTTTAAGAACTATCAGTTTCTAGTTGTAGTTCATGTATATATGACTTTGTAAAAGTCATACTTTGTAAAAGTCATGCACGGATGAATGATTGAAAAACTTGCAGCTTTTCTGAGAAACTGCACACATGTTCATTGATGAAAATGTAGATTCAAGACAACATTTAAAAGTTAATATTGGTAGTTGTTGAAATATTCAACTGTTGCATAGATTATATATTAGTTTTTTTTTTTACCTTAATAACTGTGCATCCATCTACTTTGCGCAATTACAAACTTGCACAGATACATATATGTGTGTACTTATATACATCTGTTTCTGAAAGATATTCAGTGCTGGTAATGACAGTGCTGGAATTGTCAATTCATCCGTAACCAAATATATATATAAAAAAAAGAAGGAAATTGTTATAAATGACGTTTAACTGTCAATTGCTAAATGGCAGTTATGAGGGGACATGCTTGCTCAATCTGTCAGTTAATAATGCTTTTTAAGTAATATACAACTTCCTCACTGTTTTTTCATTTAGACTGATTTATGTGAGACAGGATATGTGGTATAAAACATAAATCATGCAGGTACGAGATGTGGTGCAGCACATAGTGAAGTGCCAGATGAGCTTGGGGAGATCTCTATTTCTGACCGACTTGAAAGCTTGTTTCTAATTAGATGACTGAGGTTACCATTGATTGTTTTCATTGCATGCAATAGAGTAGTACACTGCAAATTGAACAAGCCAATACACAAGGAATGGGAACATTATTTTCTCTTACAAAGTGTGAAGTTTGTGTATTTACACTCATTGTATGTAACCACAATAAGAAAAAAAATCAGTTTTTGTTCCTGATGATGAATAAACATGTGTATGCATAATAAGCAGAAACACAAACACCCACAAAAAACACTGCACCCACAAGTAGTTCATCAGTCAGTGAAAGAGTGATTCACATCGACCAACTGCTGTCTCCTCTATGCTTTGCAGACTCACTTGTACACTTCTTGATGCCAGATCCTTTCTTCAAAGCATGTCGACTAAGCTTGCATTGGAAGTTGTTTTCCCAAAACTCTGCAAACCAGATATTCCTCCTGTTGTTCTCTAATGTTCGACTGATAAAGTATCGGTCAAAACCTGAAGGGAAATAAGAAGTATTAGAATTCAATCTGTATTGATTGTAGCGTGGATATCTATTAAGCTGAACAGAGCAGTGTAATAGTAAGTTGAGTTGCAGTGTAATTGTAAGCAGTTGGCTTTATGGTAGTTACTTGCATGAGGATCACATTTCCTTGATTTTATTTTGCTCTTGTACTGTTTCACCTGAATGTATTTGGTGAAACCATGGTAAATTTCTCAAGATAAGATTGGAAAATGTGCCCATGCCCAGGTCTTTGTTTTGTGTCTCATCAAGCATGTCTTAAGGGACAAACTAAAACCCCTTCAAACTCATGTAAAAGAACTGACCTAAACACACCCCTGAATTGAATTAAAAATAGTGGGTTTAGTTAAGATTCTGAATTACGTGGTTTATATACTTTTACAACACAGAAACGGACAAAAGTGCTTGTTTTATTTTCAGACTGATAACAAAATATTAGGGGTATTTTAAATGGATTAGAAAAACAACACTGCACTGTATGTTCGGTTTATACCTTTGATGGACAGTCGTTTTGGTAGGATAGTGACAGCACCCTCTGCCATTTCTTCTTGGTTCAGTATCGGAGCAATTTTGGATCCCCAGCTGTCTGAACCGACCCATATGAAATGGCCTGTTTGATTAGCCCTTTTACCTGCTTGTAGAAGCCGTCTGTGGGATACACGAAAACAGCATTTTATTTTAAATGTTGTTTCATGATGACATATTGAAACCACAGTTTCCCAAAATCGGTTACTAAGATGTAGCTGCCTTTTAGAATTGAACTGATTATGATTTTTTATTCGGTTATGTTTATTTTTTTTATCTTCCGAGGTGGCGCACATACATGATGTTGTATGTCTAATGTCTAATTTTGTTTTTTAAAATTTGATAACCAGAATACATTCTATTTCAGTCATCATGGTGTAATTTATGCAGTTATACGTTATATTTAAATAACATTATTTAGAATAACATTCAGTATTTTTTCATTATCAAAGCACACAAATGAGATGTGAGAGCATGTGAGGTCTGGTACACAAATAACACAGTGAGGGAAAAAAAGGTGTTATGTCAAGGTTACAGATGAGTCTCCATCATGGCAACTTTAACACATCAGGCTTAGTTACCAACTGACCACAAGTGATCTCGGCCTCAAACATTGGTGTTGTAAAACCTTAGTTTAACCCTGTTATTTTACTGACAATTTTTTTTTTTAAATAGAAGATAGGATATAATGTATGTCAAGTTATAATTCATGACCCTAAAATGAGTTAGGGTGATCACAGAATATATATTTTTTATAAAACATCAATATATAGGAGTTCAGTCTCTTATGCTTTCTGCGCAGGCAGGTTTAGGTTCATTAGGCTGCTGCAGGCTCAAACTTACTGAGTTCAAGGATAGAGCAGCATGCCACACAGAGATCCCCCTGGCTGTCTGCAATTACTACATATCCAGACTATTACCCGTTATCAGGCCCGGATTAAGTCAATGAGCACTGGGACTTCTGCCCTGGTCATCATCAAGAGACTGGCCCACATCACTGCCGAACTTCAGCCAGAAATACATTGGCTTAATAACCATTTGCCGGAAATTACTCCCCCCATATTAAGCCACAACAAGGCAGCATGTGTTGACTTGCCCATCAAACTAAAGCATTCATTCTTATCGTTGACTGGCTTTTTAAAAATTTTGATAATGAATCTTATCCAATACATTTTCATTCCCACAAGGAATATATGAGCACTGTTAACACTACTTTTGTCTAGCAAGGCTTGGTTAAAATAAATGGGCACATCTCAGCTGATGCCAAATTGGATTAGAAAGCTATTAGTGGGATAAAAGGTACACTGGGGACTGGACGAAATGTTAGAAACACTTTAAAGTGTGATCCCGCTCTCAAAAGATGGAGTACAGTGATTGCTGGTATTTCTACAGCACCTGCACCTAGCCTAAGATCAGATCACAACATTTTCAAATGTTACTTAGAACACCCCACAGAGTTTGTGAACTGTTGAATGATAAAAAAAATATTGCAGTACTTTTTCTATTGAGAGGAAAAAAATCAAGTGCTACATTGTGGGAAAACCATTACACACAGTGGCAACAATTTAGGATCTGAATTTGGTCACCTGATGTCGTCCTCATTGGCGAAGATGATGACTACTCGAGCATTAGGGTTCTCGCTCAGCCTGCGGATGATCTTGTCGAACTCTCCAACTCTCGGCTCACGTGGTATTTTTACTGATTGTGAGATGCACAGACCACCTATTTGGGAGAAAGAGAAGGTTTTTACAAATTAAAAGAAAAAATAACAAAATCAATCCTGTAGTTTTGTAGCTTCTAATGGTTCACGGTGGGTATGTTCTGGAACCTTCCTTTCTCTCTCAGTTGATTGTTGATTCTCAGTCTAATGGTTGTTCTCTCCAAAACATGTCAGCATCATTTCATTTCATTTATAAGTCATCCCATGCAAAATATCCTGTTCAATTGTCAAAATTAGCCAATAACTTAATACCATGAATACCATTTATGAATCTCTTGGAAGATTTGAAATATTGATTGACAGTCAGGTGAAAACAGAGCTTGACTAACAAAGGAGGAGTTTGTGTGCATTTCTGATAATGGTGTGGCCACTCGCATCCCCAGTCTTGGCCCACACAATACTCAGAAGCTCCTCATCTTCTTGGACTGCCTTCATTCAGATTTGATTCCTGAAAATGAGAGAGGCCTTGTAGGGCCTAACCTACCACGGTATGTAATTGTGTGGGACAATGTGAATTTCCACCATGCCCCACTGATTATGGCCTGGTTGACTACTCATCCAACAATGGTCATGGTGTTTCTACCACCTTACTCTCCTTTCCTCAATTGAAGAGGAAATTGAGGAGTTTTTCTCCACTTGGAGTTGGAGGGTGTATGAGAATCAGGCTCAAAATAAGAGGCCCCGGTCAGATGGCATGGTTAGGACATGCACGCTGTTTCTTCCCTCGTTGCATCCTTAATTTTTCTTATTCTTTGTTTATGTTTATATTACAGTATAATTTGCGGTATACATTTTCTTTTATGTATCTCTGATATATGGAGGTTACTTTATATGTGTGAATGAAAATGGTTACAATTATCCATGGCAGTATGAGTGCAATGTGTGATGTCAAACCATGGAGGGTCCTCTTACCATAAAATCCTATTTTTCTTTTATATATTTATTTTTGGTTATGTACACAATAGTGTACTGTTAGGTAGACAAAAACCTATTACAGTAACTATTGTGAATGAAGGCTTTAGACTGAGAGGTGGACATGACGGATATTTCCGAGGTCTTCTGCGATAGTGACAAAACATCTGACTTGCAGTGCTCACACAAAGTAAACCTAAGTAAAAGCAAATGTTTCATGTGCCACGTGTTCATTTTGGTTGAGCCTTCGGTGAAACAGAAGAAGTTTATGAGTCTACCTCTCTGTGTCATTATACCACATGGGAAATTTGTTTGCAGCATAGCAACAACTTGACTCTCCGTGGCTCTATCAATCATTTGATTCTATGTTTGCCTTGGTGGCATTTCAGTCCCCCATTCCCTCAACATCTGCTACATAGAAGCAGAGCGCTCATCTCTTCCATTTCTCCTCTTCTCACTTTACGGCAACTGGAAGGCCAGGGAATACAAAACCAGCCTCTGGGAGTTGAAGCACTGAGCGGGGCCCTCTATGGGGCCACTGTAGTAACTCTGTTAGCAGAGCAGGCAGTATTTTTTCTTTTGCCATTATCCATTCATCCATTTCCTTTCTGTGTATAGCAGGATGAAAGTTTAGACCATTGATAATAGGACCTCTGTTGACATCTGTATATCTCAAACCGGCTCTTTTAGTTCTATTCTTTTATCTATTTAATCTATTATTTTATAGAGTCACTAAGGTTTTCTGGGGAAAATGAAAATTGATGTTTCTGATAATTTAAGATTGCCTTGCTAAAGCAGTGTCACACAATCTAAGTGGCTTTAATTGGTCGAATTAGAAAATTGGTCTTATGTTTACACATGATGAATTTATAATTACCTATACCCATAACAATATTAGCTTGTGTGAAAGCAAACACCTGGATTATACCATAACACACAAAAAACTAACTCATCACTGCGAATTTAATTATCTCAGTTTGATTTAGTGCTATCTATTATCCATTCCTTGTGTTGTATATTATGTTGGTGTCGGCTCTGTCATCCAGGTCATGGTAATCCTAAGAGCTTGAGTAAAGGCAATTGGAATTCTTTGATATAAAAGACGTTTCTCCTTTCATCTGAAATACTTCTTGAGTTCTATGCTACATGCTAGGGTTTGTCAGCTTATAAGCAAGGAAGCTAGGCAATTTGGAGTGTTCCATTAACTTAAAATTCAAATATTTGGATATTGGTACAAATCCGGAGGAGACGACAGTTTATATGAAAGACGTATTCGGTAGAAGGTGCATATTATTTTGAAGCACATGAATGGCTTTAATAACAAGGTGAAGAAGATAAATGGCCTCCATTCCACCTATGCACCAGTGCAATTTGTCTTTATTTTGCCCAGCATGTGTCAGTTTCCCTTCTATAATATGTATCTACTTCTTTTGATTAAAAAGGTACTGGTTCAGAAAGTATGTTCATGCTGTACAATACAGTATGTCTTCATTTTGAATTAATTCCAAACGGAGCAATAGGTCTGAAGACTTTTTCTGCAGAGCTTGAACAACTTATTAGGGACTTGCTGAGTCTACAGCTTAATATTGAGCAGAACCTTTGGGGCAGGATGATGCGATGACCCCTGGGTTTAATAGTGTGCTCTACTGAAAAAAAAAGAAGAAGAAGCTGAACTGTATTTTGTGTGGCTGCTGGGAGTTAAGTTCCCTGTCTCAGACATAACGAAGTAGCACACAAACACCTGCTCTCCGTCTGGCTCATCTCTGTGGGAGTGAGTATCTACAGTGGACAACAAAATTAGATCGACTATGTATAGAAAACCAAAATAAAACATTCAACACATGTAATGATATCTTCACTTAAAACCTGGTGTGAATCAGACTTTTTGTATTTTA